AAGATTACAATGTTATAAAGATTTGATGCAATTCCAATCAAAATACCAATAGCATTCCCCACAGAACTAGAGATAACAATCCTAAAATTCAATCGAATCAGAGAAGACCTAGAATACCAAAAACAATTTGGGGCAATAAAGGCAAGGGAGGGGCTGGCATAACCCCTGACTTACAATTATACTACAAATCCATCATGATAAAAACAGCATGGTACTGGCAAAAAAACAGACCTGAGGATCAATGGAACAGAATAAAAGATGCAGAAACAACTCCAAATACACTCAACCACTTTCTCCTGGACAAAGGGGCCAAACATGTTTACTAGAAGAACCCTTTTTTAATAAGAAAACTGGTTTGGGAAAACTGGCTTTCCACATGCCAAAGACTAAAACTCAATCCATGTCTATCACCATACACTAAACTAAAATCCAAATGGATCAATGATCTAAATATTAAAATGGAAACATTTTAATCTACTGAAGGTAGAATAGGTAAAATTCTTGAATACACATTATATGCAAAGATTTTATAAACAAAACCCTGATCACATAGAAAATATTACAAGGCATCAACAACTGGGATCACATTGTATTAAAACCTTTTTCACAGCAAAACAAAGCAAAACAGAAAAACAAAAACAAATGAACAGAGTAAAGAGACAACCCATAGAATGAGAAAAATCTTTTACCAGCTACTTCTCAGACAAAGGACTAATATCTAAAAGATATGAAGAACTCAAAATAAGCATAGTCTCCAAATTTTAAGACCCATTCCAAAAATGCACATGTAAAATGAATACAGACTTTCCATATGAAGAAGTATAAACAGTAAATAAATATATGAAGAAATGTTCAACAACACTGGCGATTCAAGAAATGCAAATTAAAAAAACAGTGAGATTCCATCTTACTCCAGAAAGAATGACTATCATCAAGAAATGAACCAATAACAAGTGCTAGCAAGGCAGTGGGAGAAAAAGAACCCCTCTCCACTGTTGGTGGGAGTGTAAATTGGAATAACTAATATAGAAATCAGTATGGAGAATCTTCAAAAAAACTAAAACTAGAGGTTCCATTTGACCCAGCTGTTTTCCTTCTAGGTATCTTCTAGAAAGAGCTAGAAGCATCATACCATAGCAATATATGCACACCCATGTTTATAGCAGCATAGTTTGTAATGGCTAAATCTTGGAAATAGTCCAAATGCCCATCAATAGATGAATGGATAAAGACAATGTGGTTTTTATTGACGGTGGAATACTACAGCACCATAAAGAAGGATAGAAGACAAAGGATAAAGGACATTTTTAAATAAATGGATGCAGCTTGAGAACATACTTTTAAGTAAAACAAGTTGAATACATATGTTTAAATATTACGTTGTTTCTCTTGTGTGAGAAACTGAAAGTGTAAATAAGGACAAAAATGGATGCTAGATATTGGGAAGTAAGACAAAAATGTTCAAATGGAAAGGGGAGCAAGGGAAGGAGCAGGATAAAGGGAGCAGAGGGAATAGCAATTTCAAAAAGTAAAAAAGAATGGAAAGAAAACAATAGAAACAAAATTTTGTAAAGGGTCAGGGGAAAATGGATTGAAAAGCAGGGGTGGGGATTGGGGAAAAATTAAAATATGTCATGTACAGGTGCAAATTCTCCCTGATGAATGTGATCATGATGTATACCAAAAGTTTACCAGTAAAAGTAATTAAAACAAACTAAAAACTAGGAAAAAGAAACAATACGATATGTAGAAATCCCCAAATATTATAAAATTAAGCACAATAATTCTAAATAATGCACAAATAAAAATGACTAAAATATTTTGAGCTATTAAAATTATACTTTGCAAAAACTCACAAGATGTAGCTAAAGCCGTGTTCAGTAGGGATTTCTTACCTTTAAATGCTCGTGTTAGAAAATAATTCTTTTTGAGACAGATTCTTGCTATTAGTTCAGGCTAGACTTGGGCTCATTAAGCAGCCCAAGTTGTCCTCATACTCATGGGAATCCTCCTGCCTCAGCATCCCAGGTGCTGGGATTACAGTCATGGAACCACCAGGCTCAGCCAAAGAAGAAAATTTTAAAATCAATGATTTAATCTTCTACCTTAAGAAGTTGGAAAGAGCCAACTTCGATTACGTAGAGTAAAAGTTCTCCAACAGGTCAAATAAATTGATTAAACATTTTGAAACAAAAAATGATCAAGAAGTTGTAGCAAAGCATTAATATGAGAAGCAAAATGGGAGATATCACTAAAAATTCTACATTTAAAGAATAATAAGGGAGTATTAAATAAAACTAAAACTTTGTGCATTACTTATATACTACTCTTTCTTGCTGGTACATATTTAAAATACACAATAATTACATTCATCTAGGAGAATTGATTCATGTACATGTTGCATCTTCTGGCACTTTCTTATAAAGTGAAACATAAAATTACTTTATGACCCATTGATTCTATTCCTAGATTTTCATCTAAAATGAAAGAAAACATATAATTACAAAAATATTTGTGGAAAAATGTCTATAGGATAGATCAAAAATCAAGTCTCTAATTGGAAACAAATCAAATATATTTCAACAAAAAATGAGATAACATACAGTATATTCAGAAAATGGAATATTACTCAGCAATAAAAAGGGAACAAACTACTGAAAAATCAGTTTTACAGACACTGAGTTAATGGAAACAAGCAAGATAAAAACTAATTCCATTGTCATGAAGTTCAAGAGCAGGCAAAACTAAAGCCATGATAATTTGACTCTAAAGGGCTGGAGAATCAACACAGAGAGTCACGAGTAGAGATGCATGGTAAACTGGCTCTCTGGGAGTGGTTGCCTGGCTTGTGGTATTGTGTTCATTTCTCATTACTGTGGTTTTAAAGCTACCAGCTTGGCTTTGTGAACGAAAGTTAGGGAGTAAATGTGCAGCTGGCCACAGCATATCACTGGCCTCAGGAGACTTTCCTAGGGTAATAGAAATGTTCTGTACTGTGGCTGGCTGGGACGGTGGCCGCACTGCTGTACACATTTGTCAAAACTCATTGCACTGGATAATTATGATCTGCATATTTCAAGGCATGTAATTTTTATCTCAATAAATAAACAAACACCCAAGCCACTATTCCTAGGATGTGAGCATTTAAAATACTGAAATGCTCTCATTGGCAGGTGTAAGAGAGGTCATGGCCGGAACGGTTGAAGTTGGAACGGGGCGGTGTGTGTGCAGCCTTTCTACAGAGGTGGTGCCCTCCTTCCGCTGTCTGCCCCCAGACAACTTCCTGCTGCTATCCTTAAATAGTTAACATGATTATGTGCATAAAATGACTCACCCTAAAAATGAGGAGCTTTGGGGACCAATTCTTCCTTTTCAGATTGTTCTTATTACATGTTTTTCTGTTTTCTGTATCTTTTCCCCTCCCTATGCATTTTTATAGCAGTCTCTGACTTCCACGAGGGATGTTTTGTATGGCTGAATTTATCAATTCATCCTTAAAGCTCTTCCTGAGTCCTGACTTTGCTTTTGGACTGCTCCATAAGGCCATGTGTAGTGGGCTGATGCAAACCCTTTGAAAATAGCATGACCAAGACTTGAAAACAATGACCAAGCAACTAAGAACACAGCAGTAAACAATGAAACACTCTTCCTTTACCAGAGGATTCTCTAACAGAACTTAAATCCTCCCTCCATATTGTGAAGATCGGACTCCTCCACAACAAATCTCCCCTTCAGACTCCACCAGCCTGGGGCTAGATAAAAGCCTATCCTTATTAAGGGATTTGTCGCTGAGCATTATTTGGTATTTTATTTTATTTTGAGTCAGAGACTTCAAAGCCTCAGCTTTTTTTTTTTCCATCTGTAAAACCCCCATTATATCTCCATATAGATCTGTCATTGATACGGGTCTATAAATACACACGGCTTTGTTTATATAGACATACAATATGTGCACCCGATTGCTATCTCTGTTGTGTGCACACCAGGCTTATATTTGGAGACAACTTTTGAAAGCCAAATTTGATACAGCGCAGAGGCAGCTGGCAGTGGGAGAGAGTGAGTCCCTGGTTATCAATATAGAAAGCAGGGATGAGCCACAGATACAGCCAATACTAAGTGTTCCTTAGAGACTGGGAGGCTGAGGATGCAGGAAAGAAAAGAAAGGGAAAGGGAGAGTCAGAAAGACGGCCGGCCTCCTCTCCCCATTTAGCTGCTCTTTTGTTTAGCTTTTTCTACCAGTAGGAACATGCTCCAAGTAAAAATGTCTCAGTGGAGGGACCTTATAACCAAGCTCTGCCAGACAGTTGTCTGCTGGCTGCCTGAGAAAGCCACTTACTCCTAAGAAAAGCCTGAGGACTAAGAAGGGGGGCAAAAAGAGAATAATTAAAATAAATTAGCAGGCGACTGGGGGATGGGAGAGCATGCCTGGTCCTGCCACTGAGCCTGAAGCTAAAGAGTGTTAAGGACAGGGCTGGGCACGATCATTCCAAGAAGAACGCCTTCTCCAAACCCTGTCCCCATCAGCTGTGCTGCACAGCCTCTACCCAGAGCCATGCCAGTGACTGCTGGCCTGGCGGCCTTAGATTGGACAGTCCTGCAGATCAGGAGCAAGCGGCCATGGTGCATGTATTTTAAAAAGCTCCGCATAGTTCCCCTTGATCTTTCCCATTTTACAAGAGTTTTCACTTGTTTATTTTGTTAAGTAGATCAGTGGTTCTCAACAAGGGATGATTTTTGCCTCCCAAGGGACATCTGGTGATGAGACAGAGATTTTTTTTTTTTACTGTCAAAATCCGGAACAAGTGTGTGCTGCTGGCATCTGATTGGGTTGATGAGTGGATTGTAGAACATCCACTACATTTAAATTTCAGTTAAACAAAGAGTGATGTTTTTAAGCATTAGAAGTTTCAAATGTTGTACAGACCATTTTTATTCTTAAAAAAACGTATTATATACCCGAAATTCAGTTTTCATGGTTTCTTATATTTTTTATTTTTCAGATACTACTAAACATCCTAGAGTGCACAGAGTGGCTTATTCCTGCTCCAACAAAGAATTTTCCAGCCCAAAACATCAAGAATTCTGAGGATGAGGAATCTTGTGGTATTTGATAGTCATGTAAGTACAATTCAGATGCTAGAGAATGCATGCCTTTAATTTCTGAGCGTAAAAATGAAATATAACTCAATGATGGATACCAGGAATAAGATAGTGATTTATCAGACACCAGCCTACCAGCTTATCCTTGAAAGTTGACCTGACCTCTCACCTTTGTGGGTGGGCCAGTCTGAATCCCTACATCAGAGTATGCCCCTCTAGGTACCTAAACTGGAGTACTTTTCTATGTTTCCTCTAAATTTTCAATTAAAACTTTTTTCACCTGTGAATTTGTGCTTTAGTTTTAATTTTCATCATTACTTACTAGATAGCCAGTGACACCATCACAACTGCCCTTATAAAAAGAGGTAGAGAAACATTACACATACAGAGGATACAATGTGGTAGAGCAGGACATGTGGAGATGATGTGGCCACAAGCCAAGGAATGCAGACAGACACTAGAAGCTGAAGAGTCAAGGAATAGATCCTACCCTAGAATCTCTGGAGGGAATACGCCTTGATTTCACTTCAGTGAAAATGACTTCAGGGTTCTTCTCTCCAGAATTGTAATAGAACACATTTCTGTTGCTTCTTAAGCCACCAAGTATGTAGTCATTTGCTGTAGTGACCGCAGAAGATTAATACAGTGTGCTCCTAAGGAGTGAAGTTGGAGACCACTCTTTCTAGGAAGGTATTGTGCACACCACAGATGGACCACACATGACCTCCTGGGTCCAAGGAAGGGAACCAGAAGCAGCAAAGATTTGTTTTTCTTAATCTTTCACCTTTGTGTCCTAATATGAGATATTTCTAGAGGTGGATTTTGAGCTTGAGCTTGGTTTTTACCTGAAAAACAGATGACCTCTTGGAGAGAAATGTGGGAGTTGAGGCTCTGCAAAGCTTATGTTTAGAACTTGGAAGAAATGTGCCTACCATAAAAGGAGGGGCAGGCATACCTGGCTCCCATCAACTGTGACTCAACTCAGCTATGCCTAGTGAGCTGGCACTTGGTGGGCGTACGACTTTGTGCTATGTGGGTCCCCTGTGTAGGTCTTAATATGATCTAGGGTTATATGATTGAGGGAAATGAGATTTTGGTTCACAGGAGGAAAGTACTGTATTTTGTGGCACAATATGTTTGTGAAGAGACAAGTCCCAGAGCATTGCTGCACATCTCCTTAAGAGCCTAGAGACACTTGGCTGGGCTTGTAGGGTAAGTGGCCAACAGCAGGAAAAGCACACACTTGTAAATTAAAAATAGGAAAACAAGAGAAAGGGCTAAGCATGATAAGAAGTTCTTATCTGTGGAGGAGCTAAAAAACATCCTGTGGTTATCACAGGGGAACAAACAAACAGAACCACTGAGATCTGTTCTGGGTCTGCATGTCTGGAAAGAATCCCAACTTTCTTCTCTAGTTCAATGTGGGACCTGAGTATTTTTCAATGCAATCTATAGGCTCTACCAGGTTGGTCTTGGAGGACCCATAGTCATCTCTCTGCTATGTAATTTCTGGAGTAAGACTTCAAGTTGCCCATGTCACTAGAATGCCATGGTGATGGTGCTTGGGGGAAGCAGGGTGTGTAACTGTGAAGTGGCCAAGACTCAGACAGCTGAATCCTACTGGGCCCAAATACTCCTTGAAGAACATGGAGATGATCCAGAGCTCAGTGAGTGGTCAGCCTCACCTCCGAGAGCCAGGACACTCAGCAGAAAAGCCTGCTCCGGATGGCTTCTGGAAGTGCTCGCTCTTGTTGACCAGAAAAACCAGGCTGTTGGGGTCAAGTTGAAGACTCTGGAGAGGAGCTTTCACTCTTAGATTGAATCTTAGCTAACAATTTACTAGTGCTGCAACTTTAGGGAGATTACCATTAAACTCCATGAATTTCAGTTTCTTAAATGTAAGAAAAATAGCTACTCTACAAGATTTAAAGATTATAGGGGATGGGGATTTAGCTCAGCAGCACAGCACCTGCCTGGCAAGCGCAAGGTCGTGAGTTCGATTCCCGGTACCAGAAAAAAACCAAAAAAAAGGAAGATTATGTGAGAAAACATATTCAAAATGCATAGCATGAAGCCTGTTGTATGGTATTCAATAAATAGTACAGAAATACATAAGTACAATAATAGCACATAATAGTGCAGTAATAAATAAGTAATCAATAAGTCATACAATATTATTAGAAGCTTCATTCAGGAACTGAGTGATGGCCAAGAGGTGGGTAGGAATTGCTGTCTTAGTGCACTGTGTACTAAAGTCCAATATAAAAAGACTACACACACACATACATTACTTTTCTTAATAATAGATACTATCAGTTTTCCAAGTTGATCTGATAATATGGAAAACATTATCAAGCTGAACAGCTGTCCATTTCTCCATTTATAGGATCCCACCTGTCACAAGAAATGTAAAATATGCTCCACAAATATATGAGATCATGTCCTCTGCATGTGTGTGTGCGTGTCTGTGCGCCCTACCGTTTTGGGCTAAAGCAAGCTAGCACTTTACTCCTAGTCTTTTATTGTATATACTTTCGGCTTGAGCACAACAGAATGGTGAACTGTATAGCGCATGTAGTTGACAACAGTTATTTTACTTCATTGCCTTGTCAGCTTCCCATCCCTCACCAGTTAAGCGAAGGCAGTGATTGAAGGTCTTCATGGAGAGTCTTTCATTCTGATTTCCTAATCCTAGTGAGATGTGTTTCCTTGGCAGGGCCACTGGCTGAGGAGTTTGGGAAGGTTTACATCTCATCGCTTACCTGCATGACTACATTAAATTATCTCTCTCAGCCTGTACTCTCTTAAATGCTCTTTGCCCCAGTGCTCTGTGTCTGGGGTGAAAGTTAGAAATAGATTTGCTGCAGCTGCTCTCCTCCTTTAGCGATTTACACGGTGGTGCACCAGGGTTTCTCAACCTCAGCACGATTACCATTCTGGGCCAGACAACTCTGTCTAGGGGCTGTCTTGTATATTGTAGGATATAGAGCAGCACAGCTAGCCTCCACTTTTAGAGTAGGTGCCAGTAGCAACTCTGATTTATGGTATCTAAAAATATCTCCTGGCATTCCCAAATGTCCCACGGAGGGCAAAATCACCCTCCAGTTACAGGAATTTTCATTATTTAAACTGGTTTAGAGGGTCCCCATACTTCAGTTCTCACCTTTCTCTATCTATACCACCCTTCTGCTCTCTGAGGCAGCAAGTAGAAGTCGTTTTGGGTCTGTGAAGGTGGCTCTTCCATGGCTCTTCCCTCAGCAGGGAATGTCATACCTCCTTCCAGCCCTGTTGTCACCTCTTACCTCACTCCCCAATTCTGAGTTAGGGGCCTCCATATTTTTTCTGCCATATCACTTATTCACTCTGTTACAATTGTTTCCATACTTTCTGTGACATGGTCCCTTCCCAATACTCTGCAGCTAGCTATAAGCATTGTGAGGACAAGAGATCTTCACTCTTTTATCCACTTTTGCAACCCAGGAGCTAGCACAATGCCTGGCATACCGCAGATGCTCAATAAATACTTAGTTAATGTACTACTTGGAAAATGATTCTGTGGAATCACTGAAGCCCTTTAATTTGTGGAGGCCAGAAGTAGGCCTCGCTGACCTTTTTTGTCCATACATTAGTGGGTCTTAATTATAGGATGGATGTCCTGGATTTTGAGGTTTATTTCATCAATTCCCTGACTCAATTGCAAGTTTATGCTTGAGCATTTTAGGCCGACCATTGTCATTAACTCTCAACACATGATCATCAACATATTTTTAAAGGGAAGAAAAGAGAGCCTGGAGCCAACAAGTCCCAGACCCCACCTCTGAGCTTCTGGTAGGAGCCAGCCCAGTGAGTGTAGCGAGGAGTCGGTGCAGATGCAGCCCAGTGTAAAAATAGTTAATAAGAGTGCCCTCAGAGTACGAAAGTTGCTGACAAAATCAGGACTATTTAGTCTACAGGGGAAGATTGAGAAGCAATCTGATAGTGGCGCTTTAAACTACCTGCAGCCTGGGGCCATCGTAAACAATGCAGATGGATGGTCTGTTTGAGGTGAGGGGACAGGCTCAAACTTGCCTCTACCGAGAGGGGGTTGCTTGTTAAAGGAATTTAAGTAGGCACTTTCTAGACTGTAATTCAAGCAAGCTTTTGGAACAAGTCTGCAAGTAAAAAGTAAAACAAACTCTGCTTAGGGACTGTCTCTAAATTTCCCACTAATCAGCTATTTACCCTGAATTTCACTTTGGGATGTAAATGAGACATTGAGGGCCATCTGGGTTCCACTCCTGGCTCTAGACAGTACTCAAACTAATTCAGGTGTTGGTTGCTTTTCAAAACATGTGCGTACTCCTGCCTTTGCACACAGCTTTACACACCAGCTTGCGGTATTTCCAGTCATGCATAATGCTAGATGCCCCTTTTCTTCTAAGGCCCACTTCCCCCTTTGTTCTTCCACAAGCATTCGTCTATCTGCTTGATTTTATCTTTGTTTAAATTATCAAATGTTGGAAGATAATTTTGAAGTCTTACTTCAGTCTCTTCGCCATGGAGAAGAGGAAGCTGAGCCATAGAGAATAAAGCATTTTTTCAAAGTACAGAGAGATTTAAAATACTTGAATTCAGGTCTCGGTTATTTAGTTAATTGCCACAACCTTCTCTGCATAAATATAACAAAGAGCCAGCGCAGAGAATGAGAGTCCTAGGAAATTAGAGCAGAAAACCCTGAGGAGTGGCTAGGATTAGTCAGGTGCACACAGCCTGTTTCAACCAAACTTAAATGTAAAAATTAAACCTTATGGAAAGTGATGTGAGATAACTCCTTTCTCAGTTCTCTCAAGGATAGTACTATCTGATACCATTCTAGACGCACAGAAGTTAATTACTTGTGAATAATGGATATCTTATGGCATTGGAAACTCATTCTCCAGAACAGAGATCATCAACTTTTTCTGTAAATGTTTTCAGCTTGGTTGGTAACTACATCTAAACCTTCCCTTTGCCTTTGTGTGAGGAAAACAGCAAGATAT